AAAACTGTTCCAATTTCCAATATGGCACATGCAAAAGACGTGAATTAGCAGAGCATGAAAACAAACCAGGAGATAGGCTCCAAGAGAAGTGCCAAAGATGAAGAGGATGCCTCCAATGCCCTGGAGTGCTATAGTGGCGGCAACTAGGTGTGCAATCTGTGCACAACAAAAATCAAAATCAAGCTAATAATAAACCAGACATGACCTTTGCAACTAATACTTTTTCTTCAAGACTTTGTATGTGCAAGATATTGTTTGATTTTATATTTACTGGATGGTTACCCCTTTGAATAGTACACGAAAATACTATGAGGCCTTTCTTCATCTAAGTTAGCTGTTTCAAAACATGCTCCTTTCATTGATTCAACAATCTGCTAACTAAGATGTGTGTTCATGTCTGAGATAGTGAGAGATCCTCACTTCGATTTCTGGCACTTGTTTGCCAGTGTGAGATTGCACATGCTTTGTAAAGACATCAAACTTTGGTCCGAAAGCCTTTGCTGCTGGTCCCCCATCAGACTCATATTCGTTGAACCTATCAAGAGGAAGACATCACAATACTATATAAGAGACATGTGCTGTAAGGCTGATCAGCAACAATTAAAGCGAAACTGGTGCTTCATAACAACCAGATACACCATGATCCTTCTCTAATGAAGGAAAACTTCAGTTTCTCACACAAGGAATTTAGAAGTGTTCCAAATAAAGAAAGCAAAATTCAATGAAATAACTTGTAATCTGGTGCCAAAGAAATATTACACCTACATTGATTAACAGCCATCTATACTGCGAACAAATGTGTGCATAAACTTAGTTTTAAAAGATCAAACTTAACATCTAGGAAATTTTTTAAAGGGTTGACACGACATAACGTTTTTTTGGACCCATCTAAACAAGGAGTGGAGGAAAACTAGTAAAAAGAAGACCTTTCCCCAGATTTTTGATACAACAAACATGAAGAACATGTTTTCATCAGCTTATGATGCATATTTAGCCACAAAGTTTGCGAATGTTGATACGATAGCAAAATTAAGAGTCTATATCATGTCATTGAGGAACAAGCTTAAGCAGTAAGTATAAACTTTCCACAATGTCTCAGCAGCATAATAAATTGAATGAGCAGGCTACGAAGGATCATTAAGTTTCCTAATATTGTGAACTAAAAAATTACTAACTAGAATAGCACCCATTTTCCCAATAATTAAGCAAATAAACTAATCGTCCATAAAGATCCCAATTGCAGTAAGCAACAAAATGATAACCAAGTATATGCCAATATCCTTTTAAAAGCATAAACTTTTCGATGTCTACTCTCACTAATAACTGTTAGAAACTAACTCTGTAGCGATGGAAGTTACTTCAAGCCCTTGAAAAAATGAAAGTTCTACTGGAATTAAACGAAATGAAAATGAAAATCTGTATACATGCTTCAGTCTAAGAAGATGAAACAAGATAATGGAAACAAAAATGAACCAGATCCAAGCAGAAAAGCATACCAACCAAATTAAAAGCAAATTTAAACAGGAACCCAGAAATTTTCTGGCTGCAAAGAACAAATTACATGCTATACAATCAACAAAAAGTACAGAAATTTAAAGAACAGAATGAAGATATGTAGTAAATTATAGTAACTCTTGGTAAGCAGAGAGTATGAAAACAGAGGCGAAGAGAACTCTGCCAAGAAAAGAAGTGAAAGCCATTGTCTTTAACTCTTATAGAGAGCGAAACACTGAAAGAAGAAATTTAGGGTCCGCTCTGAAACACACACCCACACTCTCTCTCGTTTCTTCAAGACAGGGAAGAGAGAGAAAAGGGAGGATACTGAGGGTATTATGGTCCAAAATAAGATGTCTTTCGGGACACTGCCGCGCTGGAACGCTCTTTTTTCAAAGACATGGGCGCGTAAAAGGGACAGTTTTAGTAGTTTACTGAAATGCCCTTGAATTTGGTTTTAAAGCTTCGGTAAGAACAACAAACCCAATACTTATATTACTGAGGGACTTGAATTTGGTTTGAAATGCCCTTGAATTCATATGCAAATATGCAAATTTGATCTTTGTTCCAATGCTAAATTCAAGGTTTCAAGGTTTCTAGCAGGTTTCTGAAGTTGTAGATTTGATCAAGCTACTGCTATGAAGTTGATAACTTTGGTGGTGGCCAAATAACAGTAACAATTTTTCAATATATAGCAGCACAACATAGAAATGAACCCAATTGAATACCTTTCTGGCCTGGTAGATAAGAACAAGTATAGCTGGGTCAAACTGCAACACAACCAATATAATATTTCATAATTGTTCAAAGACTCAAAGAGAGTGTTCTTGTTTTGGTGGATTTTATTTTAGTCTGTTTTAGTTTTGTCCCACATCGACAGAGCATAGAAGAGTTGGAGTGTGAGGCCTGTATAAAATAAGTCGACCAAACCCATTATAACATACTTACCTGGACGGGGTTTTTGGGTGATCAAGAAGGCCCATGGCCTAGGTTAGTGACCTCCATTGCACTTTGGAGGGGTGCTACCCTATGGTCTCCCCAAGTGGGAGAGCCAACGTCATAATTTGTGTTAGTGGGGGCCTGCGTTCGCGCGGCCCCTGTCCAAACCTTAGTCCAAGATTTTAATTTTAAGTTGAAACGAAATTACAAAAGCTAAGAAGCAAATTCAATTTAATTTGGAAATAAATTTTCTATTTTGTATGTTGTGATATCTTTTGTTTAATTATAGAACTTTTATATCAAGGGATAGCACTATTCTGTTTTGTGTTTGTAACGTTCTTGAAAGAAAATATATTAATCTCTCGCTGGAAATCCTCTTTCACTTAAGCGTCTGCTTTGATGCAAGTACATTTGCTGAGATAATTTCATCTGATCAAAAATCACATCAAGAATGTAAAGCACATATCGGCTACAGATTATTCCAAGAGGAATGGATCTTCCTCTCTTACATGTCTCTTTTCTCCTTGTGATCAATATGAGAAACATGCCATCCAATCCCAGAATCACCAATTACCCTCTGGATGTCAATTTCTCATTTTGAAGTTTGGACTGCTATAACTCATAGCCAAGTTCAGGAACATAAGCATCAAGCTTCAGCTGCCCGTATAATTCTGCCAGCAACAAGTAAATTTCACTTGAAGCTGGATGAGATTTATCAGATGCTGCAAACTGATGGACTTTCCTTTCCATTTCAATCCAACTGGACCCAGGACATCCCTTTTCTACCCCAAGTTCCTGCATAGTTGCTCGTGTATCTGCAACTTGTCGACATCGTTTGGCTTCAGCATACATGTTAACCAAAAGGGTGTAATAACCACTATTATTTGGCTCCAATACCATCAATTCATTGACAGAAACTTTAGCAATCCCCAAGTTCCTATGAAGCTTACATCCACCCAACAAGGCACCCCAGATAACAGCATTAGGTTCAAATTTCATGCTTCTTATCAACTCTAGTGCATCTCAATAGATCCACCATGCATCCATAGTGTTCAACTTCAGGAAGAATGGAATAATCTTGGGTCATGCTTGAAAATCTCCTACGGCCTTCTTCAACAAGCCCTGCATGAGTGCAGGAACTTAAAACACTTACAAAAGTAACCCCATTTGGCTTGATCTTCTCTCTCTCCATCTTGCTAAACATTGCTAGTGCTTCTTTGGCAAATCCGTGAACTGCAAGTCCTTCAATTGCTGAATTCCAACAGAAAAGGTTCTTGTCCTGCAATTTAAAGAAAACCAAAAGAGACCTATCCAATGCGCCACACTTAGCATACATATCAATCAATGCAGAGCCAATATAAACATCAAGATCAAACCCATTTTGCAATATGTAAAGATGTATCTCCTTTCCCAAGTCAAGGGCTCCAAGATGGGCACAAGCTGAAATAACAGTTGCCATAGTCACTTCATCAGGACTGATCCCTTTCATCCTCATGTCATTAAAAACCGCTAATGCTTCCCCAAATTTCTTATTCTGAGAATAACAATCAATCATAGTAGTCCATGAGATAATATCCCTAGTTGGCATGTGATTAAACAACAACTCTGCAGACTCCACATTGCCAAGTCTAGCGTAGCCGTCGATCATAGTATTCCAAGTAGTTATGTTCCTTTCCTCCATCTCATCAAATGATATCCTCGCAGAACTCATATCCCCCACTCGAGCGTGAGATGAAACCATAGTAGTCCACGCAAAAGCGTCTCTTTCAGGCATTTCATCAAACACCTTTCTGGATTCACTGATTCGTCGCAACTTCGAATAAAAATCAATCAAAGAAGTCTGAACAAACACATGTGACCCAAACCCACGTTTCCAAATGTGGCCCTGAACAGCTTCTCCAACCCCCAACGCCGATAGTGAAGTGCAGGCCTTGATTAAAGATGAAAAAGTATAACTGGTAGGCAAAACCATGCCCCTGACCATATTGATATAACAACCTAAAGCCTGACATGGGTGACCGCAACAAACAAAGCCTTTGATCATCGCATTATAGACAAACACATTGGGACTTTCAATCTGAGTAAAGGCTAAAACTGCATAATCCATGCGGGAAAGCGTCGAACAGGCGGTAATGAGTTGGTTCATGAAGAAAGAGTCTTGGGTAGCATTGGTCTTGATCATTGAGGCACATACTCGTTCTAGCTCTGTTAAAGTTGAACATTTCTTTATCTTTTCAACAATGGATGATGGGTCCTGAGACAGGGGTTTGGGCAGTTGAAGAAGAGGTTTTTGTTTAAAAAACAGTTAAAGTTGGCTGTGCATTTCATCCGCTTGAAGATCATTGCCGAAGTAAAAATATACAGATGATAACTACCATTCCGAGTTTTTGGCCGGCCCCAGTAAAATAATCCTTGCACAACTCATATATCAGACACGTTCTTGAACCCAAAAATGCACGAGAATCCCTTTCAGGCATTCCATAGTATATTTTACTCTCTAAATATATTATATTTAAACAGTATAGCCGTGACCCAAACCAATGTTTCCAAATGTGACCATAAACAGCTTCTCCAACCCCCAATAAACAAGTATTAATTTTATTATTATTGAATCATAAAAACATACAAGCACTGCGGTCACTTGGGAACTGCAAACAATAAACATGTCCATACACGATTCAAATATCTTTAATACAGATGCACTGCATTAATTATTATTACAATTACAGAAATAGTACTTTTGAACATAAACTTGAAGAGCTACGATTCTTTTTGGTACATTCACACTCACAAGTAAAGAGAAGCACTGTTGAAAGCGATATCAACATTGGGATGATCGACTCTGGAGTTTGGCCGGAATCTGCCAGCTTCAGTGATGTCAGGTTCAGTTGTTGCAAGTAAAATTGGATGAGCCTTGGCATGTGCCTTTCCATTTTTTGGGTGGTGGACCGAACCCGGCATCACTGAAGCTGGCAGATTCCGGCCAAACTCCAGAGTCGATCATCCCAACGATGATATCGCTTTCAACAGTGCTTCTCTTCACGTTTTCATGAAACCCGATGAAGTTCCATGACTATTTCGTAGTACATTTGACCCTTTTAAGTGGTATTACACCACTCAATGAGCTAAATATACCACTTAATGTGCCAAAATGACCCAAAAAATATGATATTTTTATTTTATAATACTGTATACATGAACGTATCATAATCGGACCCATGCTTAGGATTTAGCTAGGCTCACCAGCTACAGTTTAAAGTGAGGCAGGGCACGACCGCCAATTTGCCCAACAACTCTGTAATGGCTCATAAACTCAGCATAAGAAGTGATCCTGTATATGGGGGGACTGTTATCAGACAAAAGCTCCTTGATTGGTCCGCATGGCTTATGTATGTCCTTAGCACAAGGAAGGAAAAAAGTTGCAGCTGATATTCTTGGCTTGCCAAGCGAGGTAGCCAGTACTCTGTGCTCCACGCTCTTGAACTTGTCATTACTAAGCAACTGCAGATACATGTGTAGTTGAGAATACTACTAGACCAGACCAATAGCTAGTTGATTACAAAATTAATTAGTAATATGATACGGAGAGCGAGCCTACCTGCATAAAGTCACCGATGTTCGCAACAAAAGCTCCGTCCACCGCCGGAACATCAACCCATTGATCATTATGGAGAACTTGGAGGCCATTGCTCTTGTCTTGTAGGACTAAGGTGAGGAGGGAGGGGTCCGAGTGTTTGATTGTGCCTAGAGTCAAATCGGGCTCAGGGCAAGCCGGATAATAGTGACCCGATAACCTGATAGACTTCAAGTACCCGTTGCTCGATAGGTGATCCTTACTGAGCCCCAACGCTTCTGACATTAATTCGGATAGCTTTTCCTGCAGGTCAATCATGTTTTTCATATGCTCCTTCATTTCGCGCCTGCAAAAACACACGTAAAGTGAACAAACTAGTTAGAGAACATTTTCCGTATACTATATTTAGTAATAATAAAATTAGATCAAATTAATATGGTTGGTTAGCTGATCTAGAAATTATTAAGCTCACCTGCACAGTTCAGGAAGTGCATCAAAATCCCACTGATCATCTGCAGCTCTGCAGGACAACGTGTCCCTCCATTCAGCTTGTACTGGTTTTGCACGCCCTTTGATATCTCCACTGCTATAATAATTCACCTTGCGACTAAAGTCACGTGAGTACCACTCCATCTTGGCCTCCTGGGGCTGCTCATGGAACCTTCTTATGCTTTCCATCATGTCCTCCATTATAGCAAGTGGGACTCCATGGTTAACTATCTGAAAGAACCCCCACGTCGCACATGCATATCTAATGGCACTGACCATCTTTACTCGCCGGTCATCGTTCTCGTTAAAACCTTCGAGATCGATGACCGGGATTTCAACTCCATCATAGCCGTTGTTCTGCCGAGTTGATGAGTTGTTTGCACGACACTCCGGTGGGTGGATGAAGAACTTGGGAATGTGAGTCACCCCAGCGTCTACGAGGCCTTTGATACCGATTTTGAGGTCGTCAAACTCGTACAATTCTTTTTCAGCGGTGGTGTAATCCACAAGTGCTGGTGCCATCTTCACCTGAATTGTTGGTTTTTTTTTCTTTCTGGTCAGACACTTGAATTGTTGGATGCAATTATTAGTTGAACTTGAAGGGCACTTTCATATATACACAGCCGCATCGTATTAGTAGATATTTTGGATTGCATGGCAATAAGAAAGCCACGTGGTCGGTTGTTTGTTCACTAAAGTAAAGCCTCCTCTTCCTTTTGTAAGTACGACACTTACAAGAGTAGCTTCTGACTTCTGACTTCTGTGTAACACATTGAAGAAAACATTGAAAAAAGTTTTCCTACTTCTCTATTATTGAAGTGGAGACTGAGTGAATCGTGTGTAGCATTGTTTTGTGAAAGACAACATGAGCAAAACGTTACATCCAACAATTGTTTTTTTTTCTTGTTTGCTTACTTAGGAAAGTAGCTTCTGACTTCTTGGTTTACATTGAAAGTGATGCTTTGTGGAATGAAATTTACAGGCAAGTGCAGTTATTAAGGTCATGAGCTTCTGCAGTTTCCATTGAATTTTCGATCTGTCCCTATTTCAAATACGTAAACTCTACACCTTACATTATATGTTATTTATCATTAATTATCTTTAGTTAAAATCCATGTCATAAAAAAGGAATTCACATGTACTAGACGCCTCTTTTTGAAATAATGGTGAGTGAAAAATAAAATTATGTTTTTTCAAACTTACATGGTAAGTGAGGAAATAGGACAGGAAGTGGAAATAGCAGCATTCAAAAGTATAGTTAATGCTTATCTTGGTATATTTAATTGTTAATAGAGACATATTAGTCATAAAAAGTGTAGTTAATGTTTGCCTTAGTTTCATATGAGGATGGAAAATGAAACCCATGAGCCAAGAATTCTTTTCTCAAGTCTTAATTTACCAAGCATGGAAAAGTAAATGATTTCCTATTCCCAAGTCTATTTTCCTACCTACCAAACGTAACCATAGGTGCACAAAAGCCATATTCAGTTTTCGTATGAAAATTATTGAGTGAAGGTAGTAGAAATGAGTATACATTTACATATCTTGGCTGTTTCATGTGCCGTGACTGTGAGCAGAAAACTCTCTGTAGCATCTTAGTATTAATCTTCAACAAAAAAAGAAAAAAAGAAAAAAAGAAAAAAAGAAAAAAGATACAAACCCCCTTATGTGGAAAGTACAATTAATTGCTGAGATAATTACATTTGACCAAAGTAATCCCATTTGGCTTGATCTTCTCTCTCTCCATCTTGCTAAACATTGCCAGTGCTTCTTTGGCAAATCCATGATGAACTCCAAGTCCTTCAATTGCTGAATTCCAACAGAACAAGTTCCCCATTCATCCTCATGTCATTAAAAACTGCTATTGCTTCCCCAAATTTCTTGTTCTGAGAATAACAATCAATCATTGTTGTCCATGAGATTATTGTTAGTGTTTTCAAGTATTTGGAAAAACAGAGTGAGAAGAAGAGGAATAGAAGGAGGAAGAAAGAATTGACAAAATCTCTCTCTACTATTCGTGTAGCAGAGAACCTTCTATTTCTTTAGATTGCAAGAATTGGTACAGTATCGCTCACACTCTTGGTGTGAGAATATTACCGTTAAACAGCTCCAGCTGGATGCATTACATCACAATGCAATCTCAGCCTTCCATTAAACTAACCAATCAACCTATGACACTTGGCTTATAAACTGAAATACAAGAAAACTAAATTTAACTAAATATGAAATCAGCTTGAGCACTTATAATTCAACACTCCCCTTTAAGTCTTGAGCTGATTTCACTCCAAGCATGCCTCTGAGATAATTGAATCGATCTTTGGCCAAGGGTTTGGTGAAGATATCAGCCAGTTGCTCATTCGTGGGACAATATTCCAGATTAATAACTCCTTCTTGCAAAGCATCCTTGATGAAATGGTATCTCCTGTCAATATGCTTTGTCTTCTGATGGAATACAGGATTCTTAGTGATTGCTATTGCTGAGATGTTATCACAATGCAATGGAGTAGCTTCGGTTTGAAGCTCTCCAAAATCCTCTAACACAAAACGTAGCCAAATGGCCTGTGTAGTAGCCTCTGCTGCACTGATGTACTCAGCTTCTGCAGTGGACAATGCAACACAATT